CTCAGCCCGTTCGGAACCACAGAAGTAGCAGGAGTCACCACAGGCCAACGGGCAGCCTGGGGCTGCTGGGCTATCGGCCTTGGCGACACTAGTACTTCTGAACGAATGGCTTGTCCTCCGATGATCCCCGTGTTTATATTTGATTTATTTTTTATTTTGTAGCACAAACAGAAATCCATAAACTGTCGGTTCAGCGCCATTGACTCTTTGATCAGTTACTGGGCTATTTCTTTACTTTTTCCCCCTGTCCCCGTCAGGGAGGAGATTAAATGCCTGTATTTTCTGCACCGTGTACACTGCAAAGATGCTAGACGAAATGGACAATAAAAGTGTACTTTAACCGAAGCCCCCTGCTTCTCCAGTATGTGAGGCACAGAAACTTAGCAGCGCCGGTAAAACCCTCCTAATTAGACTACAGCGATTCGCAAAACCTTCTGCCCAACATACAAAGGAAATAAAGGAAGCCTGACAAACAGCAGCCGAGTTCCAGAGCTTCTGTGAATCAGTGCAAGGCTGGCAAAGGGCACACCACAGTCTGTGTCCGAAAAACAGGTTTACCTGCCAGATCTCTGCTCTAGGAGAAAAACCACACAGCTCTGCCGTTGTAGACATTAAAATCTCACGCTCTGGCTGCCTAGGTAAGGACAAACTTTTTCAAAGAGAAATAAAATGTGCAGAGTGTGCCCAGAGAATGGGAAGCATGTATGCCAGACTGCAGGAAGCTTGGAGAAGGGCTCTTTCCCAGTTGGTTCACAATTCTGAAAGTTAGCATCAAAAATGAAAAGGCTACTTTCATTTCAAGTGTGAAGCCCAGTTTACAAGTATATTCTAATTTCTAAAGGAATCAGTGCAGGGTGTGTTTAATTTAGGAATTCTATACACATCCACCCAACACTCTGTTTTAAGAAAATGGAAATAACATTTTTAAAACAATAACACATCACCCAGGACAACATTAGCAGCCAGAGACTGAACACCGTCAAAAAGCAATGAGGCGCTTTTCTGCAGTTAATCACATTACTGATAGCCAATAGTTATCATCAGAAAAGTTGACCAAGACAGGTTAAATAATTTAATAAGGAACTGCTTGTAATTATGTTATTTACAAGGTATGACAGAGGGTGGGAGAGAGAGCAGAGCAGTGGATGGGTTTCGGTGACCCCTGGAGCTCAGACTCTGAATTATGGAGATGGGGGGCTGAGAGGTGAAGATGGACTAGAGGAGAACAAGGTGACTTTTCACCCTAGCACATTTAACTTTTAAATCCAAACACACGTCTCGTGTTACTAGACCATGACACTAGAAAGGAGGAGGGAAAATAACTAATCGAGCTTAACTCGATGAGCTTTGGGACAGAGTTGGTTGCCTTTGCAGGGGGGAGGGATCAATGAAATTATTCCAAGCAGAGAAAGAAACATTTAAAAATAAACAAGGGGGTCTTGAAATTTTTCTGTCAAATATTAATTACCATAATTAATTAAGACAGAGTTTGATTCCAATCACAAGTCATTTAATAAAGCATATATGTCCTGCTTTAATGACAGCATAAACTATTGTACCAACCGCTCCATTTATTCCAATAAATATGGAATTCTCATTAGCATGTCAAGGAAGCGAAATGAAAAACAAATACAGGAGATCCATTTGTCAGTCTGCTCTCTCCACCCCAGGACAACCCCAGCTCAGCAGAAAGGACAAAACAATGAGTACAGAGGCGTAAACTTTCTCACCTGCTTGGTCATTGAATCTATGAGGCGGACATAGAGATCTTGCTCTGTTCTGACGCCTGTGGCAGGAGAAAAACAAAAAACAAAAAAACAGAAATTCTCAGCAAGATTTTAGCCTGAACCTCAAGAGGGACAACCGGTCCTCGGCAAGCCAGTGCCTGGGACTACTGCCTCCACGGGGCAGCAAAGCTTTAAGGCAATCCCTACAAAATTGGGAGGGAGACAGAAAACCCCAGTCGCCTCTGACATTTTTCTTTTCTTAATTAAGAGTCTCGGGACTCTTAGGGTTTGCATTTGGAGGTATAAGAAGTCTGCCTGGCAGAGAGCAGGCCTGCGTGCAGCTCTGGGCCCATATGGTCATTTATTTTTCGAAAAGAGAATGCACCTATGGAAACAGAGTCCGAACTCCTTCCAGAGCCTCTAGAGGGTTTTTCTCTTTCTAAATCGTGCACAGGAAGTAAGTTATGCTCAGCTTATGGAGCTACCCCCATCTCAATAATTAACATTAATTTGCAAAATTGAAAAAAGTCACTTAAAAGTGATGTTCTGCAGGAGCCCTTATCGATCCCCCTTTTACTTTCTACTTCAAGCCCCACCGGTTAATCATGTGAAGTGCCATCGACTTATCGATCGTTTATGTTTTGTTTTCCTTCTATGCCATGAGAAGATTTCGTGTTTACACCCATGTCATTTTAATCTCAAAATCTTTATGTCCTGTAACCATCGCGGGAAGGGAGAGTCAGCGCACAGGGCCAGAGGGCAGTCAGCAGGCAGCGGTACTCACCATTGCTGTACAGTAGCTGCAGCTTATAGTGAATGCCGTTGTTGGTTTTCTCGTTGTTCGGCTCCTGAAAGCAACGATAAATAATTGCATTTAGCGTGGCCGCGTCAGGCGCGGTCACCGCGCTCCGGTCCCCCTCCAGGATCGAGGCCCCTCGGCCTCACACACTGCAGGCAGGATTCCTGGCTTGCAGCTAC